CGCATATAAAGTCATTCATAAGTCATTCTTCGCTAATTTACAAATAAATAGAATAAAAATTAAATAAAATCTAATGGTCAAATTATAGTGCATTTATCGGTCATTACGGTACATTTACATTATATGTGTAAATGTAGATATCATAGTGCGTCTCTTCGAAATAAATCCAAAAAGTGAGATATAAAACAATTCTTAAATAAGATGCATTTTCAACTATAAAATTCATTATTCTTAAAAATTTGTTGAGTAAATTCAGAGACTTAATTTGGGACATGAGTGTAGCACTAAGATAGTGTGTAACACCCTGAAATATCGGTATATAATTATTTATTTACATGGTTAAATAATAATGAAAAATAGTATTTATAAATTTTACTTTTCTTACTTTTAGATATTAAAATATAATATCAAAATTTTATATTTAATATTGGTGCGTCAGATAAATCTCAACGAGTGGTTTTGAATAGCATATTATTTGTCAAGGACAAACTTATGTACGAAAAATCATTTCAAAATAGATAATGTAGTAGAATAATTAAAAGATAAAAAATTAATGTCTTAATCAGCTCCCTATTAAATATTAATGTTTGTACGGTGTATAAGGAAATTGATGCATGATTACCTTTATGCCCCTAAGAGTAGAAAATGGGGCAATTAGTTCGTACCAATTTAATACCTACCTTTTTTAAAGTTTGACTACTCATCAATGATTAATTCAATCACAGCCGTTCAATGCACTCAATCTAAAGGATAACATTCATTCTTATTTCTTTCACCAAGGTTTATTCTCACATGAACCAACATATATATATATATATATATATATATATATATATATATATATATATATATATTGGTTCCGATGAGAATACGATATTACGAAAGAAATAAGAATAAATCTCAACCATTAGATCTGATAGACTCTCAATATTTTATTTGACTTCGTACAGGGCTATATTAGGAATATTACAACAAAATCTTCTCTCTCCCATATCTTAATTACTCCGTAGATTATATTGTAACGACCTAACTTTAGATCTACTTTTTTAGTACCCATCAATCCATGGCCGCCAGATTTGTAAGATTCATACATAACACCTTTGAATCTCAACATCAGGTACTTTAATCATCTTAATAATCGAAGTAGATTGTTTTCGTTTATTGAGCGTGGGTTCTCTCAACGGAGGTTTATCTTTTTGTTTTGAGTAGTTCGATTTATGGAATTCTTAGACCGCTTACGTCGGGTGAAGGGTCGGTAGAATGATTGTGCCACAGCGGTGGCGATCATTCAATCCGCGATTAGGGTTCTTCATGAGTTCATTTTTCCCCAAAAAATAGGTATTTAATCTATAGATTTTTTAATTAAGTTTAAATCGCATATTAAAAAAATTCACCTTAAATTGATTTTCTCTAAACAATGATGAGTTTTATGTTGTTCAAGAAAATCATTATATTTCATTGTTCATTAAATTTATTCATTGACCTCTCATCCCTTGTTATTTGTCATTACTTTTTATTTTTATGATATTTTTATCTTAATATAATTCTCTGATGAGAGGAATCCATATTTTAGTTTTAAAAATTTTCCTAAAACGTTAGGATCATTCTTGAATAATCTAAATGAAATACACAAAATAGAGTGGTATGCAAATATTATAACTTGCACTCAACTATAAAAATGTATAACTAGTCTAAAATTAAACAAGTTCTTATAACTAGCCTATATAATGCATAAAAGGGTACCATCTTATGGGAGTCAAAACTAAAAATAATTAAGGCATCTACCTCTTCTTAGTACACTATAAAGATAAGAAAATGAGATTGTTTTCACACACTATAAAGTTTTGTTTCTACTTTGCATTTTTTATTTTATTGCATCTTTTAGCCCAGATTTTGCACTCTAAGAAGTGAAACAAAACCACTAATGTTGTTGCATGGAGAAAGGTTCTAAATGCATACTATATACTCTAGCTATGCATTACAGAGAAGTCAAGGTGCGCTATCAAATATTTTACTTTGTTAAATTTTAATGACTAAAGTCCCTATGGGTTTCCGTTATTGTGCATTATCAAACTATAAGCAATGCATCTACATGATACAACTATGCATTCTTCGAAAAAAGTAAAGTGTACTGCATTTAGCTACTGTGCATTCTCACAAGTAAAAGTAAATTTCGTAGATGACAGAAATCTCTTGATGTGAATATGATATGTATATGATTCTAGATGGTGAAGTTTCTGCAAGCGATGATGCATTTCTGTGATACATTTGCATATGATTTAAAAACACGTTGAATGATGCAATTCTTAAAGGATTAAAATGCATATTTAAAGAGTCCAAATGCAAGATGAGAATCTCTTAATTTGAAATACAAATTCTTGCCTATTAGCTCAAATGGTAGAGCAGTATATATACTACAGATGTGGGTTCGAATCCCGCATAGGCAAATTATTTCTCAAATATGTGTTACACTTATTCAAAATATTTTACATTCTCAGAGTTTCTCATCACACAGTAAGTAACTCAGAAGTCATTTTTCACTAATCCAAAATTTAATAGATCAAATAAAATGTAAATAAAAATCTAAAGGATATATCATAATGCATATATCACGTATCACACTACATCCGAAGTAGAAGAATTAAATGAAATTAAAATAATATTATAATATTTTTTATGCAACAATGGTAGAATATTAATTGTATGGCTATAATATTTCATAGTAGATGGAAGTTTTTTTAGATGTTGCATCTTGGATAAATCTGCTCGATTCCTTTTCTTTGTTACTTACTTTTATGCCCTTCATAATTGAAAAAGGAGAATCACTTCCTAATTTCGTGCATCATAATTATTACCTTCCATTTTGGAATTTGGAGAGCCGTCCAAGCAATTCTTTAATCATAGCCATCCAATACATCTAATCGTAAGGCTTATATTTATTCTTATTTCTTTCACCAAGGTCCATTCTCACAGGAACCGGCCTATATATATATATATATATATATATATATATATATATATATATATATATATATATATATATATATATATATATATATATATATATATATATATATATATATATATATGTGGGATTGACTCCAGTCAGATGACAAGTTTCGGTCAGATGACACTTTCGGTCAGATGACATGCATCAGAATGAGCACCACCTTGTTTGAGAATGAGCACCACCTTATTTCAGAATGAACATTAGACTGAGCAGAGTGTGAATGAGTACTAGGTTATTTCAAAATGAGTACTACGTTTATAATGAACAAATGTGTGAAAATCAACCCTACAATGTCTAAGAATGAACACTACGTGGATTCCAAATGAACCCTATGTTGTCGTCTCGCTGGCATGGAATGAACACTACATTGTGATGAACAGTTCTGTGAGAATGAATCCTACGTTGTTTGAGAATGAGCGCTACATTGATTCAGAATGAGCCATACGTTGTCATCTGACCGAAAGTGTCATCTCACTGAAACATGTCATCTGACTGGAGTCAATCCCTATATATATATATATTGATACAGCACAAGAGAGAGCCACACCCTAAAAGCTAGCTGATAAGGTGGGAGAACCCTTGGCTATATAAACCAATCACCAAGTCCCCCATATAACCGGTGTGGGACAATGAAATCAGTCCGTATCATTCGACCCCCCATAAGGCCCAACGTCCTCGTTGGTCACGGCTACGTTGGTCACGGCCACGTTGGTCACGGCTGGTTTCACCAGGCCACCACTCCGTGGGCCACCACTCCATAGGCCACCACTCCGAGTTGGCTCTGATACCATTGATACAGCACAAGGGAGAGCCACACCCTAAAAGCTAGCTGATAAGGTGGGAGAACCCTTGGCTATATAAACCCATCACTAAGTCCCCCATATAACCGGTGTGGGACAATGAAATCAGT